TCGTGGCCGTGATCTTGCCAGGCCACCTCCGGGAGGCAACAACCCAGCGCAAACGGTAAGTTAGACACTCTCCTCTCCAGTTTTAGGTAATTTTATACCTACTCACCCCCTTTGCCGACCTGTGTCCGGCACCCCCCCCTGTGGGCTCTGGCCCGTCACAGGGGCCAGCTTCCTTGGCCCACTTTATCGGTTTGTTAATTATTTTGGCCCCTTTTATCCCCCCTTTCACTTTTTTTCACAGACTTTTATCCGTGAGCACTCCGCTCAGTTGAAAATACTCTTGGTCCGACCCCCCCAGTTTTCCCTAACTGGTTCCGGCTGGGTTTCACGTACCACTCGCCTGAGTAGTGGAGGCACTACTCAGAGGTAACACTAAACTTTTGAAGGTAGTCTGCTCAGGAAGCCCCCCGCCCCTTTGTTTGCACAAGCAGTCTTAGCAGTGAAGGACATGACTCTCACCTCCACAGGACTCTCACCTCGGATGTGGCCTTGACAGGACTCTCACCTCCGGACGTCCGTCTGGGGAGAGGTTTGTTAAAAGGGTAAACGTGCGCTTCGTCTCCAATCTGTTTCTTTTGTTTACTGGGACTGGTACTTATGGAAGGTGCCTCACGCAGCTCCGCGTTCGACAGGTAGGGTTTCTTCGTCCTCCCAAAATCCATCGCCGGTCGTGTCGGTTAGAATTCCTAGCAATGATGAGTTTTAATAAAAAAAGAGGATAAGACTAACTCATTCTGTAAGCGTGAAGTAGCGTGTATGTATGTGGTTTGATCGTCAATATAAAGGATAGGTATAAGAACTTCCAAAAATGTATTCCCAAACAAGTATATATCTAAGTATTCAGGACTTAATATATGTGTAGACATCATGGAATCTTTTGTAGCGCTTTTAAATAGTATAATATCCCGACAACTGTCATAAAAGAGCCCTAAATACCTGCCTATTTTTTCTCTAATAGGTTTTAGGCAAGACATCTTTTGAAATCTAAGACTATACTGAGTTTCTTACTTTTGTTCTTTAAACTTGGACGCGAATAGGGTTACAAGTCTAAACCCCAAGGACTTCACTTAATCGTTATACCGTCTATAACAGTGCTAAGAGTACAATACAGTGCGAATATCAAGAAACATCCAAACCCACAAAAAAGACAAGGTGGACAGTTTACAAAAGGGAGACCCAATAACAGACAGGGAAAAGGACCAACAAAAAGGGAGACATCAAAGGGACCACACAGATTAACAGACTAATACAAGTGGACACCGGGGGACACAAAACAGAGGAGTGGAGGAGTGGACACAGAACAACACACTAATCAGAACCACGACATAAAATTCAAGACCTTTAAAACGCAGACAGAGAACAGCCAAGAGACCACGGTACTGTATTAAGACGCCACTCGACAACGCCAAAACAGGTAGACAAATATAGTATTCGGAACTTTATTCCTCAAAAAAAAGGTCAAATTATAGACGTAAACACAGGGTCGAGGAAAGTGTTTTGGCACTGTCTTTCTTGGCTGCCTGGTTTTTATACCTGGGTCGCCTAATACCTTCTTAAACTTGAATCTAGACAAAGCTTAGATCGAAAAAGGAAGTTACCAAAAGTACGGCTCACCTTCCTTGAAGGAGGCATCTTTCCTGTTTCTCGATAAGAGCTCTCTCGTGCTTACCTCCACCCCGGCTCTTACGGAACAACTCTTCAAGCAACCGTCCTAACCAATGTCGACAAGCGTTCAACATGACTCCTTAACCAGGCTGCGGAACATTGGGAAAGGAGTCCTAGGCTGATGCCAGGACAACCTCCAGGGTGCCTCAGAGGTTTCTCGGAGATCCTCTGCGTCCCCGGTCCTAAAGTCGGGCACGAGCGTTGTCGGTACTAGGGCCACACCTAAGTGGCCGGACATGATCGGGGTCCGTACCGATCGAGGGACAGAGGGTTTTAAGGGTTGCGACCGTTTGGTATAGCGGAGCCACCCTTAGGGCAGACTTCAGTTGGTACGAAGACGGGGTCCAAGGACGAGGACAAGCCTCACGCATACTACTGGCCAGACCGAATACCTCCACGGTGCCTCATAAGTCGACGCCGGGGACGCTTCTCTTCCTCAGCGTTCCGGTCCGTCGTCGGGCTCGGGGGTCGTCCGGTTACCAAGGCCGATGTCTTGGGCCGGGTGTCGTCCGGCACCGAGCGTCGGGGTTCATGTCCGGGTTCGTCGGTTTACCGAGGTACGACGGTCATGGCCGGGAGTACCGTCGAACCGAAGGTATGAGCGTAATGGACCGAATATGTCGGTCCCAGGTCCGAGGCGAGCCGCGCGGGGTCGATTCGGTACCAAGGCCGAGGTCACGCGCCGGGTCGTCGGTACGGGGGACGAGGCGTCTTGCGCCTGGGAATCGTCAGTACAAAGCGCGGAGTCTTGGCCTTGAATGTCGGGTACAAAGGGCCGAGCGTCTTGCGCCTGGAATCTCGGTACAAAGGCCGAGGTCATTTGCGGCCTGAATCTCGGTTTCCCCCCCCCCCCCCCCGACACAATAGGCCGAGGGTGTCTTGGCCTGGGAATGGTCGGTACAAAGGCCGAGTCTTGACCTAGAAATCGTTTGGTACAAAGGGCCGAGGTCTTGGCCTGGGTACCGTCGGTACCAGGGGACGAGGTCTCCGACCGGTATTGTCGGGTACCAAGGCCGGGGTCAAGGTTCGGTACCAAGAGCCGAGTTTTCATGCGGCCGGGTTCGCTCAGTACCAGGGCTACGGCCGGAGGAGCAGTGGACAACTGAGTAGCCGGCTGCGGTCGCGGGCCTCCGCCGGCCCGGCCTAGTGCCAGTGCTCTGGCAGTCGGTTCATCCGAACTGCGGGTTCGACTCTGATGGCCGGGAGGGTTTGCTGCGTTGGGGTGGGGGACTTCCCCCACTCTGCGTGTCTCTTCCTTCCCGGACCGGCCGATATGAAGCGTGACCAAGACGCACCGCACCGTCTGACTCAGGGGTCCGGGTCACACAGCGGGGTGGAGGTTCCGGGCTGGAACCTCCCCACCTCCGCTGCGGTGCACCCCGGTTTCTCGAACCCTCCAGTGTTGTCTAGCGGGTGAAACTCAAATGCAAGATGTCGTTATTTGTATATATAAATATATATATATATATATAATAAGTGTCAGTGCGATTTTATTTTGTATTAGCGTGCATTTCCTGTTCGGAAAGTGGCGCTGTACTGAGAGTAAACAATAATAGGTGTCCCTATTTCCCCCACCCCAATGCAGCACACCCTCCCGGCCATCAGAGTGGAACCTGCAGTTTGGAGGAACCAACCGCCAGGGCACCGGCACTAGGCCGGGCCGGCGGAGGCCCTCCGATGGTGGGTCGCATTTGCCATTCGATCAGTGAGAGGGGAGGAGAAAAATGCAACGAAAATGGTCAAAATTCGATAATATATGGATGAGTGGGGGAGGGAAACGAGAACAAGGCTGGGGGGGTCAAAAGGGCTTGACCAAGGCCCACCCAAAGTGCATGGTGAGCAGACTCATCACCTCCGTGATGAGTCTCTGTTGTGTTTTTAAAACTTCGATCAGACGAGTCCTTCGGGGGCCTGGGAAAAAAACGTATTCGTCACTATCGTCACTTCCTGTACTGAGAGTGGAGGTGTCCTGAGAGTGGAGCCTACACCGGAACTGTCCTGAGAGTGGAGGCCTGCAGGCCCATGAATTGTTGTCGTCTTCTCTCTGAACGTTTTTTTCAATGAGATTAAATTTTTTGGTTTAACACCCCTTTGTACTTTCACGATTGGTTGCTGATACAAAGGAAATGACCATATTTGGATCCGATGAGATTGTGCAGGAGAGACACAGCTTTCTAACGATATCTCTGTTGACATGGTGCACACAGTGGTCGCGGTACTTTATGTTACGTTAGAATGCAAACTTTTGGTGAATTTAGGAGAAATCTAGAGACGCAAATAGACAAACTATAGTAAAATAAACACTTAAATGTGTATTTTGTACGTTTTCCTTCCAAAAGCCTGAAAGAAAACGTGTTATAGAATCAAAATAGCACAAAATCTCAAAATTGACCAGTGCTTGAAAAACGATGTTTTTGCCTGCCGTGTCTCGCCTTAAGAGAACATCCAGTTCACAAGTCATACAATTTCAAAATGAACATCCTTGGTTAACAACAACTTCATAGGGGATTTTAAAGTTGTGTGAAGTAATTAAACATTACAAATACAAGATCAGGGGGTCATTAAGATCTTTTAAATTATTATTACCCCCCTTCATAAAAGAGACTTCCTTATAGTTAATAAAGTAATTACACATTAGTTCACAAGCCATACAACTTAAAAAAAGAACATCTTTAGATAACACATCATATTAAAAAACTAATGTAATTTAGAGAGGACAATACAAGTTTTAGGTGACTTAGTGAGTGAAAATGAATGGCTTTTTATTTAGTTTGAGCGTATTTCTTTTTAAAACTAACTCCACCCCCCTATCTTTCTGGCATAGGATAACAGCCAAATCAGGGAGTGACAGGAAGGGGGAGAGAAAGCGGGGGAGAAGAAGGGGTGTGAGGGTGACGGGGGGAGACAGTCTCACACATCCAGACTCCATTTTTCATGAAGAGCCTCAGACGGAGGGTCTGAACCCGGCACAGATACTGCATCCGTTTCTTGATTGGCTCTCCCGACGGATGGCGGTAAGTTGTCAAAGGCGTCTCGCTGATTAAACCCATATCGAAGCGTCTCTTGGCCATTTTTCTTTTTTGAAAGGTGACTTGATGAGTGGAAATGACTGGCTTTTTATCTAGTCTGAACGTATTTCTTTTTTTTTATCTAACTCCACCCTCACTGTCTTCTGACATCACAGTCAAAGGAAGGGGGTGAGGAGACAGGAAGGGGTGTGAGGGGGACGGTGGGAGACAGGAAGGGTTGGGTTGAGAAAACGGGGGGTGTGAACAGACTGTCTTAATCAACACTTTTTGATTAGACACCTACAGTATGTGTGATTACACTTCACCCCTCACATCAAAGGATCTCACACCTACTTGTGATATCACCCCTACTTGTGATATCACACCTTGAACATAGGGGAGGCGGGACTTAGCTCATTAACATCATTGGGGGCGGCCCCCCACCTGTCACTTGTGTATGCATNGCGGGGAAACAAACGTGTTCGTCAGAATCGTCACTTCCTGTACTGAGAGTGGAGGTGTCCTGAGAGTGGAGCCTACACCGGAACTGTCCTGAGAGTGGAGGCCTCTCCACTCTCAGGACAGTTCCGGTGTAGGCTCCACTCTCAGGACACCTCCACTCTCAGTACAGGAAGTGACGATTCTGACGAACACGTTTGTTTCCCCGCCCCCCGAAGGACTCGTCTGATGGAAGTTTTCAAATCACAATGGAGACTCATCACGGAGGTGATGAGTCCGCTCACCATGCACTTTGGGTCGGCCTTGGTCAATCCCTTTTGACCCCCCCAGCCTGGTTCTCATAAAAGTTGACTCGCCTCACGAGTGCCTATTTTCAGACACTTTTTTTCACTTTCCCCCCTATTTTCCCCGGTTTTATTAATTGTTTGGCTATTTCACCCGGTTCCTTCGACCGGGGACACTGCCCGGTCTCGGGTGTCCCCCCCCACGGCCTGTGTCCAGCCGTTTCCCCCACTCATCCATATTTTAATGGATTTTGACCTCTCCTCTCACAGATTGAATGGCAAACGCGACCCAACAACGGAGGGCCTCCACCGGACCGTTCTAGTGCCGGTGCTCTGGCGGTCAGTTCCTCCGAACTGCGGGTCCGACTCTGATGGCCGGGAGGGTGTGCTGCGCTGGGGTGGGGGACTTCCCCCATTCTGCGTGTCTCTTCGTTCCCGGGCCGGCCGATATGAAGCGTGACCAAGACGCACCGTCTGACTCGGGGGTCCCACCACGGGTCCCACAGCGGGGTGGAGGTCCCCGGCTGGAACCTCCCCACCTCCGCCGCGGTGCACCTGGCAAACATGGTTGTTTCTCGAACCCTCCACTGTTGTCTAGCGGGTGAGACTGTGTTGCATGCTTTTATGACTGAATCACCACTTACTGTATATAAAACGAACCATAACTGTGTGTTATTGGATTATCACTGAAATATTGTGGGGAAAACGCACCAGTGAGATACAACTGCAGGGGACGGTTACTGGTTGCCATGAATGGGATGACACAGAGTAGTTCAGAAACTAAAACTTCTCTGTCACAACCCTGCAGTTGGAACGTGTTAAAATGTGACTTTGAACTAAGAGTCAAAGCCGAAGTGCTGCCCTCAGGATAAAAAAGGACTGTTAACTTGAAGGGCTATGTAGTGTTGATGGAGCAAAACTATTTAGCATTTTCTCAAATAAATACCAACCTTTGTAGTGGACTTTAAACATATGTTAGTGCTTCATTTTACTAATGAAAAAAGCAATGATTTATAATACCAGAGAGACATCTGAGAAGTCTCCTTGAAATTTACAAGACAGGTGTAATCAGCTCTGTGATAAAAACTTGCAAATGTTCCATATATCAATGTAATGGTCTGTGTCGATTTATAGTTCACTAAAGTGGTGTTACATTGGTGGTAAAAGTGAGCCAGATGCTTTATTGGGGGGGAGTAAAGGACAAGATTCAAGAAACAACTTTCTGCTTTTCAAAATAGCTTCAACTATCTTATTTGTAGTGTGTCATCTTAACTTAAGTCATCTTCTTAGAAAATAACATGCTTGACATTCACAAGAGTTTGTGAGCAAGACATAACTGACACACATATCAAAACACTGCCTAGAGAGCAACTGGCTTGTTAATAAAAAGAGGCAGTGGGCTAATCACCTTCGCAGCGAGGTATGGGGTGATTCCAGTTTCTGCTGACTCCATGCAGACATGTAAGAGACGGCTCTCCAAGCAGAGTGTAACCCGAAAGACACTCAAAGGAAATGGTCATCCCCACACTGTATTCCTGACCGATCACTATGCCGTTACGAAACGGTCGTGGGTCCGGACACCTCTGTAGCTCGTATGCTGGGAAGGAAAGAAGCCACACACAACAGAGGAGGTTTACGAAACCCATGTTTGATAAACTTATGGCGGTTGAAGACCCAAAATCTAAGTCTTGTCATTTCTTATTTCACAAAAGTTAAACATTCTAAAAATACTTTGTCTAAAGGACTCAAATTCAAAGTATTGTCCCGATGTAAGGCCAATACGAATTATTCACTTAGCATTCAAGGATATGTGCCATTGAATGTCTCAGAGGAGGTCAACATTGGTTTATTTTTACTTTAACCTTATATAATCTTAGTTCCCACCTCAGTGAATGTGTCTGCCTTGCCGGGCTAATCTTTTGTCCCTTGTCTGTATCTTACTTGACTAATGGTCCTTTAAGTGTTCTAATAGAAAACTCTTCTATCGCCTATAACACCTAATGTTTACTTTACCATAAGGACACATCTTTGCTCCTTACCCTGGTAGACAATGTGAAAGCCATGCTTGTTTTGGGAGTAGTCGCTGTGGAAGAAGAGAGTGGTCTCATGGGTGGTGCTAAAGAGAGAGTTGGGCAGCACAGGGCCACTGGACCGATCAATCACTGTGCCCGTCTCCAGGTTCCCGCTTCGCACCTCCAGATAGTCATGAACAGGCTCTGTGGAGAAGTTCATAAACTGAAGATGGATCCCTTAAAAGGAGAAAGAAAACAAACTGAGTGAATGTGTGTGTTTTTGTTATGACTTTAACAGAGTTTAATTCAAACTTAATGCATGCCTAAAACTATCAAGGTTTTTAACACAGTAAGAAAGTTCTGAGGAGTTTACAGTAGGATGGAGAAAAAAGCAGTAGAGAAGACATTAGAGCTAGCAGAACAAAGAAGAAAGGGAAAACAGAGGGAGATGACAGACCGAAGCCGATAGGGAGTTGAACTCTCCAGCTGCAGTCCAGGCTGCTCTGGTAATTCCCCGGGAAGCCAGGGCTGAGGATGACGCCGCTGAAGTCTGTCATAGAGCCGCCACACTGAGCTGAGGGTGACCAACCAAGGAGAAAGAACATGTCACTTCTCCACAGATCGTCTCCATGGGAAAACAAATGAGAACAGTTGGGGGAGTGAATATGGTAGGAGGGCAAAGAGCAATATGTCTTTTCAGTCCATGCACAACTGTTGTGTATGTGTACAAAAAAGCAGGAAAAGTAACAGTAGTGGTAATGTCTGTGTTAGCCACATTTGCTCATAAAAGTGTTAGATGTCTGTGTGCTTGTATGCAGATTGTAGAAGAGGAGGACTTTAGTGGGCGAGAGAGACAACAACAAGTGCTGCGAGTGCGCTTTATGAGCTTAGGATAGGGGGTAGCTTATGTCTCTGATGTTTAAGCATGTCTATGAATTGTGCATGTACATCTCCGCTTGACTGTGTGGATTATGTTCCATAAGGGCATCCGGCAGAAAACAGACTCAGGCACATTACATGTTTGTTGGTGCTGTAAATAAAAATTAAATGAGGGAGGCAATTTTCAATAGAGTACCACAGTTTTGCTCAGCGGTGGCAGTGATTACTTCACCCTCCCCTACAACACCCCACTTCTCTTCTTTGACTGTGCGTTAGAGAACAGGTCAGCCTGCTGTGAAGGTTACACTCGTCCCCCATTCTCCTCCTCAGATACACCAGTCTTACATAAACACCCAGGTGTAATGCAATTACAACCACCAGAGGCATCAATGTAAACTGTAGCCACATCATTCCTCTTTTTCACATCCGAAACCGAACTGATCTGTTTATGTAGAAAACTGTCTGAGACACAAGGGGGACTGCTGCCAATTCTTCAGAGATGAGAAACCAAGGCTGGAACTAAGCGCAAACTATGTCAGGATTTAATTGTGATGCTGGTGGGGGAAACCTGCGTGACCCGTTTGTGTATAAAAATGAAAGAGAGGATGAGAGGAGAGGAGCTTATGAAGATGTTTTAGTATTTGTGTAGGGGCATGCAGCCACTTTGAAGTGAGTTTATCAGTAGCAAAATGGGTAAAGATCCTGCGGTGTTGGGTTGAGCGTGTGTACTTTAAACGAGCGAGGAGTGGAGCTAACGAGGGTACACGCGCCCGAGAACAGGCCTGTCAACAGTAAAGCTGGGATTTGTGTCTGCAGTTAACTGTGTAAACCACAGGGACAGAACATTTAAATGAAGAGTGTGTTGAGTGAGTACTTATGTGTGCAAGTGTTTGTGTGTTTATAAGTATTTCAAGTGCGTGTTCGCAATTTATATGTGTTTGTGTGTGTGTTTATAAGTAATTGAGGGCAGCAGAACAGTGTGTGTCTAAAGAGAAAGTGGCGCGCCTCCTTAGTAATCTCTGGAATCCATCACTGTTCCTAGTTCCTATCAACTTAAGATGAAGTGTCGGTGTGAGTAGAGACTCTCATCAGGGGTATCAAAAATCAAACAACACATTGAGATGGTGCAAAGCCTTATTGATTTTGAAGGGGAAAGCAGAAAATACATAATCCCCACTTTTCAAAGCCCCACACCCACCCATCATTCCCTTCCCTGGTCTTATAATAAAATTGTAGCTTTCCTTAATATAATAACAAGTCCTGTGCGAGGGCATTGATCTATTGTGTGTGAGTAAAGTACTGCTAAGGGAGAAATACAAAAGAAAAACAAGGAAAAAGTCAAAGAAGAAAGGTGAATGGCAAAAGATAAAAAAAGAGACTAAATCTGTGTTTGATGCAACAAATATGGTTTATGTTGTCAGCAAAATCAGCTTGTTGAAACCCAGTACAGTGGCAATGTCAGACTGTATATAATACATTACCTAAACAAAGAGGTACGGGGTAATTCCACCTTCTGACGGGGCCAGGCATGCAGGTGATATATGCATTACCCTGTTGAGGAAAACAAACAGAACATATTTACCATCCACCTTCAAAATACAGTGTAATAAAAAAGAAAACACACCAAGAGATCAAATAGACGGGTCTTCCTCAAGCAGATTATATCTCTCTCCTGTGGATCTTTGGAATTGGTTAACAGTCAGATTTGTTGTTTCTTTCTAAATCCTCTTTTCAAGGTCTTGTGAGTACATATTTGATGACATATCAGGAGGAGGAGATGGAACTCTGGCTGCTAGTTGAGCGGCAGATTACCACCCGGGGTGTGACTGCAGGGAGATGTGTTGAAGCTTGATGACAAAACAAAACAAAACTGTCCTATTAGTATCAAAAATAATATAAAATGTAGGATATAAAAGGTTAATAGTCTATAAAACATTCAAGGAACTTGTTTTAATCCTTTTGAAAATATTTTGCAGATGAAACATTTCCTGCAGACAAGATGCTTGTAAAAAGGATATACATTCTCGTAGACTTATGTCAAACCTGAAAACAGACAAAGGTGTTCTACACAAGAAAAAACACACACACACACACACACACACACACACACACACACACACACACACACACACACACACACACACACACACACACACACACACACACACACACACACACACAACTGAACTAAAAATCCTCAGTTGAAGTTCTGTTTTTTATTTCTACACTGGCCTCTGGTCTACTTGTGGTGTGCAGACACTCAGCCTGAAGATGTGTGTAAGAAGTAGCTGGTTGGTCTGGAAATAATGTGAATAGAAGCAAATGCCTGAACCGGAAAGGAAAATCGGTGAGGGATTAGTGAGGCCACTGTTAACACAATCCATCGCCCGTGGCGTTCGAGGGTTCTACGGCTCAAAAAGCGCCCGGCTACAGTATCTGCTCGAAGAGGATTGGAGGAAATTAAAGCTGCTTTGTAATAGACACACACACACGAATATGCAAGCAGAGTAGCGCACGAGGAAAGTACACACAATAAAGATGCAAGCATAAATACATGGACAGTTATCCCACCCTTGTGCATTCACACATTTCTTCCCCGCACAGATACTTCCACTCACACACACACAAATGTCATTGAAGGAGTACTTAGTAATGCAGTCTTGACAGACTCCTCCTTTGGGGTATTCCCTTGAAATGGTCACTTCAGGCAGGTAGATATGATTCACTTATCATAACCATGGGAGAGCTGTATGTGCCTTAGCGTGCCCCTGCATGCCTTCACCTACCTGTAACGTGAAGCCCTGATCGCACTGGAAGGACACCATGTCGCCCACAGTGTAGCGGTCGCCCACTCTCTGTCCATTACTGGGAGGCAGCGGCTCTGGGCACGAATCCAAACCTATTGCTTAGGACAGAGTCACAACACACAAGTGCAGACAGCGATCATTCTTCTGCACAAAATGGGCAAAATCTAACAATGCATCTCCTAAAAACATTTGATATAGTTTCATTTAAAAAATGCATTGTATTATTAATGTGACATTTACATTGAATCAGCCAACACCTACATACAAAATGATTTGATTTAATTCAAACCAAACGAGTAATTACACAGACCCTCATTTTAATATGCTTGTAATTGAACAATAATTGAGTAGGTTTTTTTCTTTTCTTTCCCCTCATCTGAATATTTAGAAACTGGGACAAGTCACAAAGCTGTTTTACTATTGGCTGTAATCATATATTCCTTCTGACTGTGATCTGAAGCAATCACTGTGAAATTACAAAGCAATCCCTGAAGTATTACTTGACAAAAGCATTGGGCTCCATTGGAATGAAGTGATTACAGAGCCACTTGCCAGGTGCCTCAAGGCCTGATACTGTGTTTTAAAGGCTTCAAAGCAATGGTCATCCTAGCTATGGCTTATAGTGATATAAGCTACTTTAGCTAAATTTGAGCTACAGTCACTTCAGCAGACAGAAAATATAAGAAGCTCAGATTCATTTATCCTAGAGGTGGCTCCTTAAATTCATAATGTTCACATCAGCAGGGAGAGCACACATCTCACATAATACTTCACTTTTGATGCACCCATTACAGGCTGTTACTCAGTAAAAAGGTGAATTGGAGATAAATGCTTACAGTATATACAAGTTATCTGTCAATAAGATGATTGAATTCTGTATTAAAAGTGTCTGCCGTGCTGCTGCAGAAGTAATACATATGAAATGAAAGTGGGAAGACCTTTTGTTATAACACTAAAAAGCACATAATACACTCATACAGAACTCTTCTCCTTGAAGCATTGGTGACAAAGTCCATAGGGGCTTGGCTCGGCAACTGGAAGGTCACCAGTTCAAGTCCCAGAGAGACCAAGTGCTACCAAGGTGTCCCTGAGCAAGGCACCGTTCCCTACACGGCTCCCCGGGCGCCGTATGGCAGCCCACTGCTCCTAAAACTAGGATGGGTCAAATGCAGAGCAACCGTTTTGTTACTAGTACCTGTACCATGTAATGAAAATAAAGTTGAATCTTCAATAGCCAAGCAATGTGTAGGCACAGATAGCACGTAGACAAACATTCGAAAATAAAAATCGATCAATGTACAAACACTCAGACACAAGTCCACTCCACAATGCAAGTAAGTGGGTGGCCTGGATGTAAACATGACAGCTGAAATTGACAAAAAAAGGTTCTGAACTATTTATAATAAGCAAACCTCCAACTTCCAAAAGATAGAAAGGATACGTGAGTGGAAGGAAGGTAACCTAAGAGGCACAGAGCAGGGAGCAAAATGACAGATATTCACAGATGCAGCAACTAAAGAACAACTATTATACATGGTGAGTGGGTTGATTCTAAGAAGCTTTGTCTTATATGGGTTTAAATAAAAGTATGACTTTGACAATGTCAAATGCCTTTAAAATTGATTCCAGGAGATTTTGTGACACAATTCATCAAAGCAGTGTTTGCTGTTAGAGTAAAAGGCTGCCAGGTAGGTTTGACATCAAAGTAAAATGCAGCTATTTAACAGTTGCATGAAAAGATCATTTGTCCTCATTTTAGGTAACAATCCGCTTTCCCCTTGCAATGTTTTTTTAAAACGGATAGAAAGAAGTGCAATTTACTTCAATAGTGGTTCAAAGAGGGAAAGTGAATACAGGATTTATGATATATTGTAATACAAGATGCTCTGACAGCTGCTTGCATTATGTATAAAACCAAAAAAAGGTTAAATGTGTATATATACAATCATATTACACAGAACGTAGTAGAAATACATGTATTTATACAAAGACCTCCATATAGTGTCACTAGGCATTCACCAAGCATATATCATGGAAAGCATATCACTTCAAACATTCAGAGTAAGGGTCTGATTCACCCAGCCAGAGGCATCGGGCCAGATTTTAACTGGCCTGGTGGGAGTAAGTTATACATGTGCAAGTCATGAGTAAGTCTCAGGTCTTAACCTACAAGTCTCAAGCAAGTCCCAAGTCACTGTGGTGAGAGTCAAGCAAGTCAAGTCAAGTCATTGCTCAGGTCAAGCAAGTCACAAGTCAAGTCATACAAAATTCTGATGAATAACCCCAGTTTCCACATTTAAATCGGTTAAAATATTGTAGTTATGAAAAGTTGAGTTTTATTTTCAACATTAAAAACAATGGAGTGGGGCCCTGAAATTATAACCCTAGTTCTAAAAGGGCTCTAAAATGAAAACAGGAGTACAACAAAGACATTTTATGTAAGGTTTTAGCGATAGTATCCTGTTAGCTGTTGTGTTTTAGTGTTTTGTATATCTGTCTTTTGATGTTAATTACTCTACTCTCTCTCTCCAGGTGTCGGCACTTCCTGTCCGTGTGGCACCTGCTAGAGTGATCGGTGTTCCCACCCCTGATTCTGTCAACCTGTGCCCCATTGCCTAATGTGTATATTTAGTCCTTCTCTCCCTTTGTGTGGTGTCGGTTCGTCTTGTGATGTCGTTATCTCTATGCCTGTTTACCAGAGATTCCTGTTACATTACCTAGTTGAACCTAGTGATTATATGGAGAATCCTAGTAGAGCCTAGGAGTCATTATTGATAGCTTTGGTTTTCTTAACAATAAAGAAGATTACCAAGCAACAGAATTGAGCATCTGAGTTCTTACGAGGCCATCCTATCAGAACGAGCCGACCAAACAAGATGGACTCAGCCGATTCCACAACGCTAAGAACGGCCCTGCAGGTCAGGGTAAACTCCTTCACCAACATGAGGAACAGCTATCAGCAATTAACCAAGGGGTCCAGGGCTTAAATGTTCGTCAGGACAACTTTCAAGCTACTGTGTCCACGGAAATAAACCTACTGGCTGAGAAGATGCGGGAAGTACTCACTCACCTCGTGGCAAATCCTGGTGTTCCTGCGGCAGAGCTTTCCGGTCCAGCGGGGGTCGGGTCTGTCGATATTCCCGTTCAAGTACCCGTGCATTCGCCTACGATCCGCCTCGCTTCGCCAGAGAAATTATCCGGAGAATCTGGAAACTGTCGTCCTTTCCTGGTGCAGTGCGATCTCCACTTCAAACACCAGCCCGCAGCATTTCCCACCGATCAAGCTAAGGTAGCTTTTATTGTTTCTCATCTGACGGGGAGAGCGGAAGCCTGGGCAACAGCGGAGTGGTCCCGGTCCTCGCCTGTTTGTCAGTCATTAAGACTGTTCGTGGATACTATGAGCAAGATTTTTGATCTGACATCACCCGGGAGAGAGTCAGCGAGAGCCCTGGTGAACATTAAGCAGCGGCAGAGGAGAGTGGCGGATTACGCAATCGATTTCCGTACTTTGGCAGCGGAGAGTGGGTGGAACTCAGCGGCTCTCTTTGATGCTTTCCTGCATGGATTAGCGGATCCCATAAAGGATCAATTGGCTCCATTACAGCTGCCTGAAGATGTGGACTCACTCATCGCCATGGCTATCCGGGTTGATCAACGTCTAGCTGAAAGAGAGCGGGAAAAAGGAAGGAATACAGAATCCACTCCACCTTTCAGACAGGAATTACCAAGGGAATACTACGATTGGCAGAGGAATTCCCAGTCTTCATCTTCAGAGCGACCAGCGCCCCCTATCGCCGCGGAGGAACAGATGCAGCTCGGTAGAGCCAGACTCACTCCGGAGGAACGTCAGCGCCGTCTACGGGAGCGGCGGTGCTTCTACTGCGGTCAGCAGGGTCATGTTTCGGCAGCCTGTTCGGCAAAAGATCAGGCTCATCAGCGGGAAGGAAGACGCTGGTGAGCCGAGTGACTTCCTTCGACTCTCCGGTCAGAAGATTAATGCAGGTACAAATCAAACTTGGTGATAATACTATGACTCAGGATGCATTAGTCGATTCTGGGGCTGATGAGAGCTTGTTAGACTGGGAGTTGGCTAAAAGTTTAAACTTAAAGGTTGTTCTTTTAGATCAGCCCTTAGAGGCTAGTGCTTTAGACGGCCGCCTTTTATGTACTATTACTCATCGCACTGAGCCCATGGTATTAGTGATAGATCAGGAACATCGTGAGCAAATAAGTTTTCATTTATTTAACTCTGCTCAACATCCTCTCATTTTGGGGTACCCTTGGCTTGTTAAACACAACCCTCACGTTGACTGGCAGACAGGAAGGGTTAAAGGGTGGGGGGATGAGTGCTCTCGTTCCTGTTTAACCAGTAAAACAGGGTTGAGTAATTTGCACAGATCAAGTAACTTTAAGCAGGGATCAGGCAATAACAGTGACATTTTTTCTAAGCCTTCTGACTTTCCTGATTTGGCTAAAGTTCCGGCGTGTTATTTAGACATCAAGGAGTTGTTTAATAAAACACGAGCTACTTATTTGCCACCCCATAGACCGTACGATTGTCCCATAGACCTTCTGTCGGGCTCTACTATTCCCAAGGGACGGTTGTACTCACTTTCTGGGCCAGAAAGGGAGGCCATGAAGGAATATATCGATTCTTCACTTAAAGCTGGTTTGATTCGGACGTCTTCATCCCCAGCAGCGGCAAGTTTCTTTTTCGTGGGGAAAAAGGACGGGACATTGAGGCCCTGTATTGACTACAGTCCGCTAAATCAGATCACAGTTAAGAACAGATATCCCCTTCCACTCATCTCTACGGCATTCAAACTGTTACAGGGAGCCAAGATATTCACCAAGCTCGACTTAAGGAATGCTTATCACCTTGTGCGCATCCGGGAGGGGGATGAGTGGAAAACAGGTTTCAATACGCCTACAGGACATTACGAATATTTGGTGATGCCTTTTGGACTTTGTAATGCACCTGCTGTTTTCCAAGCCCTCATTAATGATGTGTTAAGAGATTTCCTGAATGTTTTCTGTTTTGTGTATCTCGATGATATTCTCATCTTTTCTCCAGATGAGAATACTCATGTTAACCATG